TCTGCGCCGTCCCAGCAGAGAATTTTCTCCTCACGTTCAGGGACTGAATGTGTTTCTCTGTGGCCACACACAGAGGCGTGTGCTGGTCCCCTGGATGTCACCTCGGTGCAAGCCCAGCCCAGCCCAGCCCCTGGGGGCTGAAGGGCAGCTCAGCATGAGTGCTGGAGAAAGGCAGCTGGGGAGGAGCTCCAGCTCAGGCCAGGGGGGCAGTTGTCCTGCTCAGCCCTGGGAGCACGGGCAGCTGCCTTCATCCTGCTGTGTCCTGTCAGGCTGGACACCGAGCTGCGTGTGCCCAGGGCTGCACGGGCTGGGGGGCCGTGGGGCTGGGGGGCCCGTGGGGGTGAGGAGCTGTTTTGGGAGGCAGAGCAGCAGCCTGGTTAGTCCTGGAGCTGAGTCACTCCTGCACGGGGTGGCGATGCTGTAAACTCCAGGAGAGTTCCACCACCTAAATGTTTTTCTACCTAAAAATGTTTCCACGTGCTAAACTCCCTCTAGGCTCAGACAGCTCTGCCAGCTTTGCAGACACCCTCCCTGGGAGGCAGAGCTGTTGCCTCAGGCCCACAGGGCTCCCCTGGGCTCCAGGTTGGTGGATTTTTTATTGGCCAGACTTGGAGTTGAGCAGAGGACTCAGTGCAACCTGAAGATCACCAAAGGGGTGGGCAGTGGCTCGGCTCAGCTCTGAGCATGTCTCTGAGGAGGGGGAATTGCCTCCAAGAGCTGTGTGGAGGTCAAAAGAGGGAGAGGATCTGTTGGCACCCCTCAGTGAGGCAGCTCTGACAGGGCTCAGCCTCCCCACTCAGGCCAGGACCTGAGCTGGGTTTGCACCACCATGCTGCACCCCTCACACCAGGCTTGAGATGGGCACATGAAAGCAGCCTGACAGGGGTTGTTGGAGTTCCCAGCCTCCCACTGCAGGCCTTGACAACAAATCACTGGATTTAAATGAATAAAGGAATAAAATAATAGTTGAAAAAAAACACCTTTCTCCTGGCCCAGGCCAAATCTCTCAGTTTATTTAGTTCCCTGGGGAGAGTGGATTGACACATCCAGGCTACCAGACCTCACCTGCATCGCTGTCACACGTGGGATGAGGGAGCAGGATGATGAGGCAGGTTAGTGTGGGCACTCCTGCAGGTCTCACTATAAACCTTTGTGATGTATTTAAAGGAAAGAGCAGAAAAAAGGCTGGAAGAAAAGCTCCTGCATCTGTCCCTGAAGCTGGAACAAATGGATAAGCCCCAGAAGTACGAGAAGCAGCTGGAGCAGATGAGGAGTGAGGGAAGATCCCTGCGTGCACAGATCACCAGATTGGAGAGACAGGTCTGGAGGGAGCTCGAGGAAATCCAAAATGAGTACAGATCAGGTGAGGACTGGCTCTCAGGCAATTTGTTTTAAAAATCAATTTCTACAGTAACTTGCTGCTCTAGGAACTGCTTCCCAGTGAAGACAGAAAGACATTTTAATGACTTTTAATGATGATTTTAATGGCTATTTCCCTCTCCCAAACCCCATACACAGAGGCATAGGGGTCAGCCCACGTGTCTTTGCTAACAGCCACCATGCCATTTGCACACAGGTTGCTTTGTCTTCCTAAGACATTGAAGAGGCAATTTCACAACCTTCTTTCCAGATATTTTAGAGCACCTGTTTCTTCTGTTGTGAGGGCCCCCAACCTTCTCTGGGAGGCACAAGCCATTCCCCTCTGCACAGATCCTACTGCTCAGGTGGTGTTTGGTGGGTTTGCACCATTTCCATCCTCTGCTCCCCATCCTCAGCCAACAGCAGGTGTAGAAAGAGGCATCAGGACGAGTTCCAGCTGCCCAGCACAGGCCACACGTGGTGCAGTGGAATTAGGAAGCAGAGAATGTTGCTGAACACGTGGCAGCTGCTTTGTATGGGGACAGCCACAGTGATGTACACCACAGAGCACGAGCTACCAGTCTGAGACAATCAGACTGTTTCAGCAGCAGTGGGAAAGGCTTTCACCTGGCACCAAGCACAGGGCCTTCACAAGGGGATTTTGCCTGCTGTAATCTGTCCTGTGTCACCCAAATCTCATCTATTGTCACACCCTCCACCTGCAGCTGGTCATGGAAACACAGTGGACACATCAGGTTACCCAAAAAAAAACCACTCAGCCTTCTCTTCAAGGGAACAGGGGGCTGAAAATCATTAGATGAGGGCTGCACATCTCACACGCTCTCACCTGAAACTCAAGCATCATTTGCTGCAAGGCTGGAGCAAAAAGAGCCCTGCAGTAGCTGAGGTCCCTGTGCAGGCTGGCAGGGAGGGCTGGCCACCCAGGAGACCACCTGGGTGAGCACAGACACTGTCTCTAAGAAAGCTGTGGCTAAGAAATTCCAGAATAAGCTCACAGTTCTTAACTTCACATTCCCACCTGCAGAAATTAATGCCAGCAGTTATCTGCTCATGCCAAACTTTGGCCATGCTTGTGTTCAAATCCAAGTCCAGCGATTGCTCTTTCCCATGGAAGGGAGCTGACCCCAAAAAGGGGTAAAAGAGGCCCCAGAAGAGGTGTGGAGCAGCGTGAGCAGCCTCTAGACTGCTTCAGCAGCTGTTGGTGCCTCAGCACAGACTGGCATCTTGGAAATCAGAGATGATAGGTCAAGAGTTCCTAAAACTGTGAGCACTGTGCAGGGGTTGGGTTGGACACCATCTAGTCTGTGGCAGTGACAAAATGAACCCGTAGGAAAGAACTGTTCTAAAAGGAAAAACCTCATCAGCTGCCATGTTAGAGTAAGCACTTTAAGAAAATTAAAAAAAAAAAAGAGGAAGAGAATTAATTTTGATCCAGTTTGGCTGTGAGCAGCTGTGTGACATGATGTAGAGAACTGGATGAACGTAAAGAGCCACTGTGCTGTGAAACACCTGGTAACAGCAGCTTGAAATTCTACTTTTCCTTTCTTCATGGACAATATCTGACTGTAAGTGGTCCAAAAATTGTGCATCAGGTGCCCTGTAGGTCTGTTCTGGACAGGGGTGAGTGTGCACACACCTGTCTGTCTTGGCACACACCGACAGGCAGACACAGGACCCTGAGCCTGGAGAAGCTGAGCTCCCACCCCCAGGAGCACACGACACACCAGTGGCCAGCCTGGGTGAAGCCTGATTC